CTATTGGAAACTGAGTACGTTGCACTACAAGATTTGAAGATTTCCACCGTTTCACAGTATAAGTGACAGCATCTAATGGCGTCCAATACGAATTGAGATATTGACGATGTTTCCAAGAAGTTACTTGACATTTACTTCTTGTAGCTATTCCTGTACTTTTATCGAACAGAACCCAAATACGTAAAGGCCGCTTTTCACTTGTTTTCTTGTGTCGACCATAATCTATAGCCTTTAATATTCCGGTAGTGCCATTCACAAGGCCATCCGTAGTGTCCATATTCACAGTTACCATATAACGTGCACCTACTCGTAAAAACAAGTTSTTAGGAAGACCATACGTTTGCATTGTAGCTAGAGCCTTTACAGATTGCAAGGCTTTTTTAGCAGCTTGTGGATTTGGTGCTCCAGAAACCACATCAAGTGCTTTAACCGAGCACCCTTCAGTGTTCATTCGAGATAATACTTGATTATTGTATTTGTCGACTTCATTGTTGGTTGCAAATAAATGTATCGCTCCATGTACCTCAATAGGTAAAGTATTAATACTGTAACATCTAGAATTTATTAACTCTATATCCATAGGAGTCATCCGACCGACAGCCATATTGTTTAAGGCTACTGCGAATGCCAGATCATCTCTTTGCCGCATTATTTTAGTCATCATAAAGAGACGGAATGGTTCCCACAACGGAGCGCCAGCRAGGGGTGCCAATGGATTTCGACTACTGTTTGGCTGAAATACCCAATTGTCCCCTACCGGAGGTAACTGATTGAAATCTCCGACGCTTATAATAGATATACCCGCAAATGGCGCATCTGTGTGAAATACTTGCTGCAATCTCCTATTAATTTGGTTCAGAGTTCTACTCCCCAGCATAGATATTTCATCCAAAATAATTAATCTTACTTTTGCAAGTTTACATRCTAAGGTGTTTGCGGTGCTTGCTGATAATTCAGGMATTGTTTGGCCACACTGGGATACTGGAAGTCCAAACGTACTGTGTACAGTTTGACCACCGATTCCAAAAGCAGCTTTTCCCGTATATGCACAAAGTAAAAT